GAAAAAAAATTGCAGAGAACTTACACGTGCAGATGAATAAGCCGCTTTAAAATTAATATGTGTTCTCCGCTCAGGTCAAAAAATGCGATATCAATAGGACCCCATAAGGCTCCTGTGCGGTCCTTCCAAAACAATTATCTCCATTTCTCCAAGGTTAAGGTGTTATCTGATGTTTCAAGTAAGCATCTTTCTTGATAGTTTTGCCAACTATGTGGAAAATATTCGACGACTGTAGTTTAATTTCTCTCGCTTGTTGTAAGACTTTTTATGAATGGAATCATATAAATATTATGTGTTTTTCTTCATGTGCACAGTATGGTGTGACTTTACCCATGTTTTTAATGACCATTCATTTTCCTTTTTATGCAGTATTGAGTATATAGTACTCAAGATATGAGTATGAGTAAAGTGGTGTATTTACAAATTCTCTATGCATTCTGGGGTATATAAAACATGTATTTGTCTAGCGTGTATGTTAAAATTATTGTATTTAATTGAACATTTCCACTTTTTTTTCTTAATGATTGCTTTTATTATTTACTTTTGGCTGCATTGGGTCTTCATTGATGCGCGTGGCCTTTCTCTATTTGCGGCGTGCAGGGGCTACTCTTAGTTGTGGCGTGCGGGCTTCTCATTGCGGTGGCTTCTCTTGTTGCGGAGCATGGGCTCTAGGCGCAGGCTCAGTAGTTGTGGCGCACGGGCTTAGTTGCTCTGCGGCATATGGGATCATCCTGGACCAGGGTTCGAACCTGTGTCCTCTGCATTGGCAGGCAGATTCTTAACCACTGCGTTGCCAGGGAAGTCCCGAACATTTCCACTTTTTGGTCTTGTTTTACGCCATCTTACTAATTTTAACGTAGTTCTTTGAGTGAAATTGTTATACTTATTCTTCATCTATACCATCTTTATATTTTGATACACACTTATGCGTTACATAAATGTACAGTTTTACAGTATTCACACACTTAGATGGTTTTTCTAAGTGATTTTACTCTTTGAGTAATATTTATTTTACCAGAAAATCATCTTTCTCTGGTGGTGTTGCAAGAGAAAATGATTAAGATAGCTTGTTAAAATTTTTGTTTTAAGGGGGACGAAATGAAAATCATTGTAAGGATAAAAAGTTACAATGCTTCGAATCCCTAGCAAGATGTTAAGAACTCAAGAAGATATTTCCATCTTTCTATAATGAGGATGGAACAGAGGTCAGGTCCTAGCTTATCTCCTTTTCCTAAGTTTGAAGAGTCGGAAGTGAGGTCCAGTTATCCTGAACTGCTGGAGGCCAAGCACTATTACTCCAACACCCGCTTTATCACAGATTCATTTTCAGTGTGAAGCAAGTAAATGGTAGTTCTGTCCTCTATCACAGGATGAAAAAAAACTAGTAGGAAATTAGAGAAATCTCTCTGACCGTTTATGGAATAAAGCATGGATATATCAAAGAATATGGATAAATATAAAAAGTACATATCCTGGAATTTTATTGTATAATGTTATGATAATTTCAAATCAGAATTTAATCTATGGATTATGTAAGCTGGAATTTTGTATAAAACAATAATCTTTAATATAACCAAATTAAAATTTGTAAAGGAAGTATAAGAACTCCTGTTGGCCACTTGTTAAGGCCACCTACAAGCTATGGGAAGAGAAGAATCTATTATTGCCAGGGGAGAAACAGAAGAAGGGAATCAAATGGAAGTGTCAGAAACAGACCTGTACATAAAATGAGACTTAATTTTTGATATTTGTGACTTAGGACTATAATAGTGCATTATGACCTGCCACAACCATTTCCTCGCCAACACAATCCCTTATTCTTCTGGCTCACTAGGCTCCAGTCACACTAACCTCGTGGACGCTGCTCAAACACACCAGACATGACTCTCATAGAGAGTCTTTTTACTCATTTTTCCCATTTCAGGAAAGCTTAAGATGTCCACATGATTTTATGGCACAACTCTATAACACTTTCTGCCCTGTTTTACATGCTTTACTTTTTCTTGAGCATTTGTCTTGCCTGAAATAGTAAATGGTTCACTCATTAATATTCTTTTTTATCTGTATCACAGATGGGAATTAACGTTACATGGCCCTGCTCATCCCACAGACTCCACATTCAGCAGAACCACTTATGGACCCTGCACTGGTGAGTGTCACGTGTCCTGCAACTCTTTTGCTGCCATTCTTCCTGGCCTTGGTGTCTCAAGACCCTCGAGAGCCCTATGCTCTGGTTTCTAAGTCCAGGTCAGAGCTTATATGGAGAGATTCCCATTTTTGGCAGCCAGTAGACTGAGATGTGAAAGGTTGTCTTAGGTACAGGGATTAGTATGTACAAAAGCTTGGAGATGAGATTGAGTTGGGAATGCTCTATGACTTGTATGTGTTAGTTAACGTCTGGCGGGAACAGAGAGCAAGGGGGCAAGAGTCAGGCCTAGAATGGTACTCTGAGAAGGTAGGTTTCTGTTCTGAGAGTGATGGCAGACATGGAATTTTTGGAACAGGAGGGGAAGTGATCTTAGGTCTTAAGAGGCTATCCTGGGCTGCAGTGTGCAGAAGTTTCTAAAGTAGGGTCTGACCAGATTTTCTAATGTGGAGCAGTCACAGATGCCTCCAAAGATTTTTCCCTGTGCATCTGGAAGTGTGGAAGTGCCATCAACTGAGATGGGGAAGTCAGTGGTAGGAGTCCATTTCAGTGAGACTATTAGGAATTGGATTGCAGCCAAGTTGAGTTCCAGATGTTCCAGAGGCTCCCAAGTATAGGAGACAAGTGGACAGCTGAACATGCAGATCTAGAGTGCTGGGGGAGGCTTCAGGATGCATTAGGTGACAAGGGAGGAGAGGGGGGCTCTCACAAAGACAGACAAGAAAAAGTAGTGGCCATCAGCAGGAAGGTAGGAGGAAGGGAAAGTCCAGCAGGTGGCCAAGGTTTTCATGGGAGAGTGGCCGTGAAATTGATGCAGAGGGAAAGCAGAAATGGAGGTAAAGTGATACCAAAGTCAGGCTGGTGCTTATTTCTCTTCCTACGCACTCACCAGGCTTTTTGGTGGAACTTAGGGTTTTTCTTTCAACGGCTGGGGAGCTGCCAGTGGAGAGTTGGGGTATGCTGGGATCCTGTTGCATTGGCAAGCACTTTCTGAGTGCCATGTGAAGAAGGGTATATGAGGAGACAGGAGACATGCCAATTTTATGGACCAGATTGTGGTGATGGGGATCTGATGTATGAGGAGTTATCCAGTGTGTTATATGCATGTGGGGAAGGTGTGTGAAGTAATTGCCCGAGGTACTAGCAGCTTAAGAGAGAAGGATAGGCCTAAGTGTGTTTGTGTCTGGGAGGCATTATCCTGGGGACTCTCAGGCTGTTATCTTGCAGGAGAGGGAGGGGTCCCTACATACCAGGAGCACAGACTTAGATGGCATCTATCTGTCCACCTGCCTCTTGTTGCTGAGGCTGGATCTAGTGATCAAGGAAGCATGAAGAATTATTAGGTACCACTGCCCTCTAAGTCAGGGAACTGGGGAGGAAGATGAGCCTAGAGTGAATATGAGCTGGGATTAGGTGTCCTTATGGGGTCCTGGGGAAAGAGGCTGCTTATGGACACATCTGTCCCCATCATCACAGGGCCCTGTGACCTTTGAGGACATGGCTGTGTACTTTTCCCAGGAGGAATGGAGGCTTCTTGGTGAGGCCCAGAGACTCCTGTACCATGGCGTGACACTGGAGACTTTTGCACTTGTTGCATCATTGGGTAAGGCCCTCCCACCTATCCCAGCATCCTGGGCAGGTCTCTGCCTTTCCCATTTTTCCCAAAGGCAAGTCTGTTTTTTCACAGCTAGGTAGTGAGCACATCTCTATTACTGCTTCCCTGTCATACATTCTATAGGTGCCAAGGCTGGGTGAGTGTATACTACCTCCTTTCAGAAGTATCCCCAGTACCAGAGGCTCTGAAGTTTTCTGGGTCATAAGACTTGGAAATAGTTCGGTGGGTTCCATTAGCCTCAGCCACTCCCTGCTAAGTTGACTCTGTAGACGCATGCATCTCTGTGCTCCAGGTTCTCCCCCCTTCCAGCTGACATTTCCTGGGCCCTGACTGTACCAGGAATTGTTGGGACTCAACGTGGTCACTATTTGTGGGATCCACTTGGCTGTTGCTGTGAGACCCTCCTCAAAGATTCTTTTTGTGATATTATTTTTCTTTCCTGAGGTTGTTTTGGGATTGGTTGTACCCCTGGGCCAGTACTGACCACTCACCTGTCGTGTCTTTCCCTTAGGACTTGCATTTTCTAGGTCCCATGTTATGTCCAGCTGGAGCTGGGAGGTGAACCCTGGGTACATGACAGAGTGGACATGACTCCAGCCACAGCATGAAGGGCTCAAAGTGGGCTTGGCTTCAGTGATTGGCATCAGGGAGAGGAAATGATGATATGGCTGTGTTCAAATTACATCAGGAACATGTCTGGTGCCCCACAATGTTTTGGAGCCAAAGCCATTGACTGTGTACCTCATTTCTGTGTGCACTGTCACCATCATTGGATCTTTTGCTTGGTGAGTCTTCCCTGTTCTGTGATGTAGAGAGGTCCAGTCCTGCACAGAGGCCCTTTCCTAATCAGACCCCAGCTCCCTTGTCCTGAAAACTGTCCCAAGGATTTTTTCCTTGGCATGTCAGACACATATTTGTGATGGGGCTGCCCCCTTCTACCAAAATCTGTATGAAGTTCATCCGTATTTCTCTGCTTTCAGGTTGATATGGAGTAAAGGTCAAGGAGACATGTTCTGAGCAAAATGATTTGTAGAAGTGCCACAAATAAATACTTCAAAGACAAACCTGTCCACCCAGAAGGGCTGTCCCTGGGAGATAGGTAGTCTGGAATTAGAAGGTGGTGTGCATTTAGCTGAAGAGCTGGGAACAAACCCTAGCCAGAACTTCTGTGGGGCAAGTGTAAAATTTCACCAACACAGTAGAGAGAAACTCTTTAGAAGAGACACGGATAAGGAGTTTATGAAGAGCTGCACAGTCCATGCAACCAAGAAGGCTTTCTCATTCCAGGAGCCTGGGAAGAATTTCCCTGGTAGCTCGGGCCTTCTCCAGCACCAGGTCACTGCACAAAAGGACACCAAGTGTGTGGAGGCCTTTAACAATGGACAAAGGCACTATAAGTTCAGTGAATGTGGGAAAACCTTCAGCCACAAACACTCAATTGCTCAGCATTAGAGTTTCCACACTGGAAAGAGGCCTTATGAGTGCAGGGAATGTGAGAAAACCTTCAGCCTCAAAAACTCACTTGTTCAGCACCAGCAAGTCCACACTGGAGAATGGCCTTATGAATGCAGTGAATGTGGGAAAATCTTCAGTTATAAACACAAACTTGTTCAGCACCTGAGACTCCACACTGGAGAAAGGCCATGAGTGCAATGAATGTGGGAAAGCTTTTAGCTACAAACTCACAGCTGTTCAGCACCAGCGAATTCACACTGGAGAAAGGCCTTATGAGTGCAGTGTATGTGGGAAATTCTTTACTCAAAACTCCAGCCTTATTGTGCACCAAAGAATTCACACTGCCTCACAGCCTTATAAATGCAGTATATGTGGAAAATTCTTTACCTCCAACTACAACTTTATTGCACACCGGCGAGTTTACAGGGGCACAAGGCCTTATGAGTGCAGTGAATGTGGGAAACCTTTCAGCAACAAACCCACACTTGTTCAGCATCAGCAAATTCACAGTGGAGAAAGGCCTTATGAGTGCAGTGAATGTGGGAAATTCTTCTGCCACAGCTACAAACTTGCTCAGCACCAGAGAGTCTGCACTGGAGAGAGGACTTACGAATGCAATGAATGTGGGAAAGCTTTTAGCAACCAATTGACACTTGTTCTGCACCAGCGAATTCACACTGGAGAAAGGCCTTATAAGTGCAGTGAATGTGGCAAGTTGTTTAGCCAGAGCTCCAACCTTATTGTGCACCAGCGAATTCATACTGTAGTGAAGCCTTTTGAGTGCAGTGAATGTGGGAAACGTTTTAGCCAAAGCTCTACTCTCATTAAGCACCAGAGTTCACACTAGAAAAAAACCACGAGTGCACTAAATGTGGAGAATTCTTTAGCCAAAACACCCAGCTTACTCAACACCAAAATGTTCACACCACAGAAAGGCCTCACAAGTGCAGCAAATGTGGAAAAGTTTTCTGTCAAAGGTCTGTTCTGAGAACGAGAAACTTCATAGTCAAGATAGGCCCTATGAGTACAGCAAATGTAGGAAAATTTTCAGTCAACAGTCTAACCTCATCTGTCACCAGAAAGTTCATGCTGGAGAAAAGACCTTCAAATGAGGAGAGCAGCGAATGAGCTGTCTCCTTAGTTATACATCATACTGAATAGGCTCTGTGAGGGAGTCATTAACTGGAAGTTGAATGCCATACATCTGAACAGCCCTTGTGTGCAGATTGCCTATGAATACCAGGTTCATAGGAAGCTTTTCAGTAACCATGCTGTACTTCCTAACCTGCCCACAGCCCTTTCCAGACTTAATGTCACTGTGAGCTTCTTACCTCTTCCAAGTGGCAGATCCCCATCCTGGGCATCAGTCACCTTACTGTGGTCAGGGTAGGTAGATTTTGTGCTGTCCTGTCCCCTGGAGCAAAGCATGAATAGCCTGAGCACTTGGGTTTTGTTATTCTCTTCCATCAACTGGCTAAGACAGGACCTAACCAGCTTTGACCATGGGGATCCAGGTTGGATTCTGCTGGTGGCTCACAGAGGTTTACCTTCTTTGGCGGCATTGTCTCATGTCATGCTCACAATGGATTTTTCTAGCTCCAGGTCACCCTTTTTGGAAAATGTTTGCTCTGCTCTGTGCCATAATAAAGACTATTATTTAAGCCCCCTTTCATCTTGGGGTTTGTTCACTGTTAGACTGATGTTGAGAACCATATTGGACTGTCAGGATGAAAAGGAACAGGTTTTGTGAGTGTTGCAAACTTTGTATACCTCAGTGGGGATAGAATCATGGCAGAGAATAGTGTTCACTCCAGTTGTGGTCTAATTTGCATTGTTTTCCAAGGCCTCCTAGGGTAGACTGCAGGGCTCTGTGGGACTAATGTTGAGTCCTGGATGTCATAATTTTTGGTGAGTTCAGAGGTCATGCTGAGATGAGGGTAGTCACGAGAACAACCAGTGATTAGGGAGCTACATGGGAGTGGAAGTCGTGTAGTCCAGGCATGTGATTTTTAGGACCCAGCAGAGGCCCTGGTTAACTCAAGTGGAAACACCTTTCATTGCTCACCAGTCTTCATTGCTACTGCAATAGAATCCCTCCCAAGGACAAGGAGAGGGGGTGGGGTTAACGTGTGGTTGGCAGAGTTCCACAGAAAAGATTCAGATTTTTATGTGAAGCCAATTTCTATTAAAACTTAATTGGGCTTCCCTGGTGACGCGTGGTTGAGAGTCCGCCTGCCCATGCGGGGGATACAGGTTTGTGCCCTGGTCCGGGAAGATCCCACATGCTGCGGAGTGGCTGGGCCCGTGAGCCATGGCCGCTGAGCCTGCGCATCCGGAGCCTGTTGCTCCGCAATGGGAGAGGCCACGGCAGTGAGAGGCCCGCTTACCGCAAAAAAACAAAAACAAAACTTAATTGAGCTATATAGTTGGTATGCATTAAAATGAACATACCTAAAATGTACAGTTTGGTAAGTTTTCATACTTGTAAAGCCATGGATCCATCATCATAATAACAAACATCCAACACCAATATCTACCTTCTGACATGTCTCCCAGGACTCCCTGGCAACTACAATTGATTTACTTTTCCCCCCACTCAATTAGTGTTTTCTAGACTGTTAATATCATTGCCATCTTAATGTTCACTTTAGTATTTGTTTTTTTCTTTCATGATGCATAATTATTTTGAGAATCATCTAAGTTGCAGGTGTGAATAGTTCATTTTCTTCAAAAGGGGTCTTGTGGTTTGTTTCCAGTTTTGGCCACCACAAATAAGCTTACTATCAACATGTGCATAAAATTCTTCATATGAATGTATGGTTTCATATTCTAAAATGAATGACTGTACCTTTAATGCATTCCCATCAACAGTATGGAACCATTCCAGTTCCCCTATAGTCCTCACCAGTACTTGATTGGTATGGTCAGTAGCTAAAATATTGCCTGTTTTAAAGTGTGTAGTATAGTCTGATTGCATTTCCCTAATTCATAATGTTGAACAATTTTATTGTGTTTATTTGCCAGGTGTATGTCTTCTTTGATAAATGCCTGCCTGTTCTTTTATTTATTAACTGAGAAGACAAATGTGTTGTAACTTCACTTTTCTTCAGTGACTTTGCTGGGTGGAATAAGTGTTTCTGCTATTCACAACATTTAGTCCTCATTATTAACTTTCTCAATTACTTTTAAGTTCTAGACAGTTAATAAAACAACCAATTGAGCCTTATTATGTTTGCCAATTTCATGGTATAAATACTCCAGTTTTGAGCAGAGGCAAGGTGCTTCAGATATTTAGGGAATAAAAAGGCATGGTGGTCTTAGGCGTGGGGACAGGCAATCAGAGGAAGAGAAATGGTGAGGTAGTCAATGTGTGCAGGTGTATCTGCATCATAGGCTTCATCATGGGATGCATTTTCAGAAATGGAGGCACTTTGCATGATCTGAGGGTGGAGTTTTTGGCCATCTGATGTCAAAAGGTCATTCACTGGACACCTGTGCAGGCCAAGTATTAGGTGTTGGTGGTTCCAATCAGTCTCAACCAGCTCAAACTGGACAAGAGCTGACTCCAAGTTTCCTAAGAAACAACTTGTGCCCCCTTTACTACAGTGACCACTAGGTCAGAGGTGTTACCTACACGGGTGATTAAGGAGTCTTGTGATTATTACCTGGGTCATGTGAAGCTTGGAGCATATGCAGCTAAAGGGTGTGGGGGGGACCACCAAAGAGCTTAATCACTGAAGGTAGTTTACAAGCAGAGGAGTTTTAATAATGCTGTTCCCTTATATATGGTTCTGTATGCCGAGCTCAAGAATTTTAGTTATTGGCTTCTGTTAACCCTGTGGGGCACATTTCAAGGTCATCCAACGTGGACCTGGGAAGACGTGCAGTAAGCACACCTTTCTACTCTATTTCCATTATACAGATGCCCATAAATAACCTTAAGAACACAGAAAAGAGTAAAATGCAATAAAACAGGAAGAATGTAAGTTTTGACTATTCTCACTTGACCAGTATAAACAACTACATCACAGGCCTGAGTTGTCCAATCTCTACTCAATCCGAAGAAATGTTTGGCACTTACTCGCCTAACTCCTCGGTGATAACCTCTAAACCCTTGAAACATTTGGCCTAATAGGAGTGTCTATTTACTTGGGGTTTTGGGCCATGTCAGGCAGTTTATGCTAATACTGTAATTTATGGCTGGGGGGGCAGGGGGTACTTAGGTCTCTCTGTATCAGTTTGACATATGGAGAAGCTAGACAGTAACTAAGGTCAGCCAAACAGGTGCCCCTTGGTCTATTATATATACTCAAAAAACTGGACAATATCAAGGCTTATATGGGTTTCCTGTTTAGCGTGTTGTCACATATGGATGCTGTGAGACTTTTAAGCGAGGGGGCAACTAACTGGAAATGGCAATATGGTCTCTCCTGGACAGTCCTATTGCACCATCTTCCTTTGCTGATTTTCACCTGTATCCTTTCACTGTAATCATCCGTAGCCCTTTAATTTAACAGCTTCTGTGAGTTCTTCTATAGAATCTGAGGGTGGTCTTGGGCATGCCAGAACGTAATTGTGTTTTTAAAAGGCTTTGTTAAGTAAAATTGGCTTGAGCTTCCCTGGTGGCACAGTGGTTAAGCATCTGCCTGCCAATGCAGGGGACGCGGGTTCGACCCCTGGCCTGGGAAGATCCCACATGCTGCAGAGCAACTAAGCCCATGTGTCACAACTACTGAGCCTGTGTGCCACAACTACTGAATCACGTGTGCCTAGAGCCTGTGCTCTGCAACAAGCCACGACAATAAGTAGCCCACGCATAGCAACGAAGAGTAGCCCCTGCTTGCCGCAACTAGAGAACGTCCACACACAGCAAGGAAAACCCAGCACAGCCAAAATAAATTTATTTTTTAAAAAAAGTATAATTGGCTTAAAGCATTTTAAAAGCACATGGTTTGATAAAGTTTTTGCACATACTTACATTTCTGAAGCCAAAAGTTTTCTCCTGCCATTTATAACTCATCCCCCCTTTAACCTATAGAACTGATACTAGAAAACACTCTTCCTTCTTGCAATAGGTGTTTTAGGATTTGCCCTGTTTCTCAATTTCACCTATACTGGATCTCATACTATTTGACATGGTGACCAATGTTGGAGAGATAATAAAACAAAATCTGCCCAGCCAGAAAATCTCCATAAAGTAGAGAAAGAACATACTTTTACTGTTCCACGAGCACGAAACTAAACTGTGGTGCATGTCACACACAACCCACTAAAGAGATTGTAAAGACAGAAACCACACCCCTTTTGATACACCAAGCAGACAGAGCCCATTCCATGCAAGCGCTCAAGATGAATGCTCACTTGCCTTCAAGTAAGAGGACTTGACAGCCCCATTTGTTACTGTTTATCTCAATGTGCCTGGGAATTCGGGTGATGCTCTGCAGGAGCTATTCGTCTTTATCCAAAGAAAGCCTAGAGCTTCTCATCTATGTCTGTATGACTGGAAAGGTGGGAAGCCCGACGCCTCTGTTGCACGCACGGAGACCGAGAGACGGAGGCACCATATTCCATGATGTTTTCTTTCCAAAGAGGTGGCGCCAGACATTAAAAGAAACACTCCTTGGTTGTGGTGGAAAAAATGTCCACCTATTGAGAAGTGGGAAGCCCTAAAGGGCTGGAGGCGGGGGCTGAACCAATAAAACGACGGCGCCTGCTTTGGGGCCGACCCGTGGCTGACGGGGTCCTCCTGCTCCCGCAGCCCCGACCTCCCCAGCCGTCCTTCTCCCCGACCCCGGGGCCGTGGGGGAAGAGGCGGCCGGACTCTCCCTCCTGGTTCGCTCGCGGGCAAAGCCGGTCCGTCTGGCCTCCGAATCGGAACCCCGCAAAATCCCACGGAGATGCCTCCGCAGACCCGGCCCCGGGGGAGCCCGCGGCTGAACCTCTCGCGCCCTCCTCGGGCCTCCCCACCCAACCCGGTTCCCACCTCCGGACGCGAAGACCCCCTCCAGCTGCCCTCGGCGGCCGGAGGGGCCCCGGCGGAGGCTGATCCAACTAACCGAGCGGCCCCACACCTGGGCCATGAGCGCGGCTCCAGCCTCTTCCCCATGGATCT